AATCACTCAGACGCTTATATCACTTATAAACTATATGGCCGTGGCAGGCTTCTTGCTAACTGTTCTTCTATCTTAAATTAACCCATTTCTATAAATCTATACCTTGCCACGTGGCTGGTGGCTTACCAGCGTCTTCACATTCTGCTTGTCCTGGCGGTGGCTGCAGTGTCCCCACCTCAGCCTTCCACTTCCCAGAATTCTCCTCTCTCCTTGTCCCACCTACTTCCTGCCTGGCAACCTACTTCCTGCCTGGTCACTGGCCATCAGTGTTTTATTTATATAGAGAGCAATATCCACAGCATTAGTCTATTTTTATTTATTCAAATCTGTCAACAAAAGAGAGGCTTTCACATTGTACATTTCTGATTTGTGTGATATCATATGGTTAATGCTGAAATTAACCGTATGTATAGTAGCCTATGGGAATAACATGGTTAAATAATAAGAATGTATATTAGGAAGAAGAATAAAATTTTCCATCTAATAGTTACCCTTCTTGTGGATTCATATACACACACACACACACACACACACACACACACACACACACACACACACACATATATATATACAATCATTTTTTTTTTTTGAAACAAGGTTTCTCTGTGTAGCTATGGCGCCTTTCCTGGATCTTGCTCTGTAGACCAGGCTGGCCTCAAACTCACAGAGATCTGCCTGCTTCTTCCTCCCGAGTGCTGGGATTAAAGGTGTATGCCACCACTGCCCTGCCTCATATTTTGATTTAAAGGGAGATGTCAATTTAATGTATGAACACATTTATTAGGGAAAAGCACTTATTTGCAATATTTTGTATGTTTTTAAGAGAAAGAATGAAAGTTTACTACTGAAAATTATATGAGAAAAAATGTTTACATTTTGAGGTATTTTCATAATAGTCTGTTTGACCTAAGTATTCAGTTCTTACATATTGTATAGATGTACTGATTTATTGACTATTAACTGATACCAGACTTTGAAGAAAATATTTTAATAATGAAGGTAGATGTTTTTCCTGTCAATTTATCTCAACAGTAATTTACAGCTTAGGAAAACAAATAATTCTGTAATGATGGCTTTTATAAAGCTGTTTCTTATTAATTTCTCAACCTCATCCATTGGTATAAATCTGTGGAGATTTTCCATTTGAGTTTTTATTTGTAAACTAGGCAATGTCATTTGCATTTGCAATTTCCTGACTTTAGACAGAAGGAAGCACTAGAAATTTTAGACTTGTAGGATTGGCCCCGCTTAAAGCATTTATGTTTGTCTAATAGTGTTTCCTGAGTTCTTAATTTGTGTAGAAAATAAAATACAAAGGTAACCAAGCCACGCTCCTGGTTGCTAGGGAGCCTTTCTTATATGAAGGTCAGACCTGTGTTAGAGGATATAGTAGCTGTAAAGGAATAAATAATTCTTGATTCAAAAATGAAGAAGAGAGCAGAGAGAACGGACCAGGATTATACCTAATAAATAAATACTGCAATATAGTTTCCTTTAATTATATTAGCATGACTATTATATCAAGGGATAAATAATACCCCATTATTAGATGAAACTGATTTCAGCAATGTTCTTAAATTTGAATGAGTATGGACCTTTTAGCCATATCAATTAATTTTAGATATACTTTTCAATTAAATACCCAATTTGAACATCATTCATGTTCAACTTCATTTATCAATGACGTTAACACTAAATTTAAAATAACAATAACCCATATTACTTGAAAATTATTTTGGTTGCATAATAAGCTATGCTTAGTTATAACTTAATTTTGTTTATTTTACAAAATAGATGAAAGAGAAGATGTTCAAAAGAAAACATTCACAAAATGGATAAATGCACAATTTTCTAAGGTAAGAATATTTCATTACATTTATTTGAAAATGACATATTTGTTGAATTCTTGAAATGAGTTCTAGAAGTATATATTTCAAAAGTTCATATTATTTTTCTTATGTGTCATAATTTTGACTGTTCAAATCTCCAAATGTTACACTGTATCTTGCTTCAGTAAATAATAGCAGAGACTATGATAAAGAGGTGTGATTTAAGTTTACAAACTATACAAGTTTGATTTTTTCATCATTAGATTATTACAGTACACTTTGTCAATTATCTCCTCTATATCAAACATTAGGAAGTATAAGGGACTTTATTTTTGAGAAAACTGTCATATTTTGCGTTTCTTTACTTAGTTAATAAAGGCTAAAATAGTTGAATTTTAGTTAATTCAGCCTCTATAACTAGAGCATATTTTAAAATTCTATAAAATGATAAGTCACCTTTTTATTCTGTAGTTATCAATATATACCCTTACTATTCATTTATGCCTCAGTTTAAATCATGGTTCATAGTGTAACCCCGGATAATTATACATATAAACACAAAGTAAGATTTTAACCTTAAAAAGAAACATTCCAAGTGCAGTTTATAAAGGGGTCTATAGATGTAACCAACCGTCTTATTAAATAAGAAACACAGAAACAATGTAAAAGAGAGAGTCGAGAAGTCAGAGCTCAGAGCTAAAATCTCACCCTTCCTCCTGCTGTCCCAGCTTCGCGAAAAGAGACCTACTTCCTGTCGGTTTGTTTTTTTATAGTATGTTGTTCTGCCTTCTCATTGGTTGTAAACCCAAACACATGACTGCCTCGTCACTGTCTGAATGTACAGCCCCCTAGGTCTTAAAGGCATATGTCTCCAATGCTGACTGTATCCCTGAACACACAGAGATCTTATGGGATTAAAGGCGTGTGCCACCACCGCCACACTCTTGCTATGGCTCTAATAGCTCTGACCCTGAACACACAGATATCTATGGGATTAAAGGCGTGTGCCACCACCGCCACACTCTTGCTATGGCTCTAATAGCTCTGACCCCCAGACAACTTTATTTATTAACATACAATCAAAATAATAATTCAGTACAATTAGATTACCACCACAGGGGTCCATTAAATGTCAAGAGAAGAAAACTTGAGTTTACATTTAGTCATACTAGATTTGAGCCAATTAACCAAATGGTCCTATTCAGTTTTCTTATCTTTCATTATGTATATGTAAGTACACAAATTCCAAGGGTCTATTCAATATACCAAAATCAGAAAATAGGCAAATAGGAGAAAATCTGTAATCCCTGTGTGAAAATGCTTTAGGAGAGGCAAAACAGTGATAACAGACACTTTACATTTTAGTGGTAAGATATGGAAGAGTCTTTTTAATTGAAATCGTTTAGGAGTTTGCATTGTACTGTTAATAAATATGAACTACCCCTTTCATGCACCTTTCTCCCTTTGCAAACCTTTTAGTGATAGAACCAATGTAATATAGTAGAAAATAAAAATCCCCCAAATTTCTTTTCTTACTAGTACAAAAGGCTTTTGAGTATCATGATGGTATTTAAAAGAAAAACATTGCAAACTATACTTGTGCATGTAGGAAGAGAAGCATGTTGCTGAGTTTGCACTGATATTTCTTAAACTTTTCTCACTGAATTAATAGTTAATAAAATTCCGTCACAGAACTTTAAAAAGAAACAGAAACTAGAATATGTATTTTGAAAGATGAAGTTTTTTATACTAAGTGAAATGCAAGTGTAATGTTAAACAATAACATATAACAACACAGTAGAATACTAAATAAAACTAACTGAAATGAATTTATAATTATTCAGGTCTGACTCATAATTCTAAGGATATTTTCACGATGGAAATACATGCTTTATTTAGTATATCTACTGGTATTAGGAAGTTTTATTAATGTTTAATACAAAAATAGGTTTTCAATCTATTGTAAATTTATTTATCAACAAATTGTAACTGTAAATATATTTTCTAGAATAAGAAATGTAACAATACTCTAAATCTCTAAAGCAGCAGAGAGTCTTCCTTTTTTTAATTCTAGAGTCTCACAACATCAGGTCTAATACTATGTAATACAGATTGGCCTCAAACTCAATCTCAGTCTTAAAACTGCTGAGATTATTAGCATGAGCCAATGCTCTTCATTTATTGTTCTAAGACGTGTAAGCTATGTACATTTTCATTCTCAAAATTCTAAAGGGTGTATTTTTATTATAAAAAATCTAAATGGATCATTGCTTTCTATACATTGATATTCTGAAGTATTATTTATTATAATTGTCATGTTAACATACAAGACAAAGTTTGCTATCTCATCTTCCTTGGAGAATTTCTTGGTATTGCCTTAGGAAATTAAACTCACCATTCCCCACTTTTAAGAAAGTCCGTACTTTAAAGTCATAGAATGTTCACACACAAGTGCCTAGCATCCTCAAATAAACTCACACTTACTTCATTTTTATTACAAATGTTCTCTAAATCTGTTAATGTTGGGCCAGGAGACTCATCAGCCATTCCAAAACTGAATCTCTATTACAATAGTAAGAGGTATTTATGCAAACTGTGGTGGTTTGTATAGGTATGGCTCCCATAGACTCATGTGTTTGAATGCTTGGTCCACATGGAATGTCATTGCTGGGAGGTCTGGCCTTGTTGGAGTGTCACCTTGTTGTTGGACTTGTGTCACTGTGGAGGAAGGCTGTGGGTTCCATATGTTTAAGCTGTGTATAGCACACAGTTCACTTCCTGTTGCCTGAAGATCAAGATATAGAACTCTTAGCTCCTTCTGCAGTACCATGTCTGCCTGCATGCTGTCATGCTTCTCACTCTAATGATAATGGACTAAACCTTTTAAACTGTAAGCCAAACTCAATTAAATTCTTCCCTTTATAAGAGTTGCCATGGCCAGGGTGTCTCCTCACAGCAATAAACCCTAAGACACAAACAAATGAGAAAACATTTTCTGAAGTAAAATGAGAAGTTTAAAAGTATTTCTTCATATTGCATGCCAAAACCTCATATAAGTTACTGCTTTAGCCACTTTTGAAACTAATGTAATTAAAGAGACACAAAAAGTTATAAGGGATTTTGCAATATAAATTATCTATATGTATACATATACCCATTTTATACACAAATATATAAAATAATTTGACAGGCATTTATTGTTTCACTAATACATTTCACCAGAAATCTGGCCCTGTAAGCTATTCAAAATTATTTGAAATTGAATATTATGATCTCATGGAATAGACATGATCATTTGTATGATGATAAGTGCCAATGGAAAACTGGGAATATCGTGTGAGTTATTTGAGGAAGCAGTTTTCAAGCATAGAAGGAAACTTTTCTTAACAAATGAATAAAATATGAGTCTATTAAGGAAAAGAATATTTTTCCTGTAATCTCAGTGTTTGTTACTAGTATACTAAACGAATGGCCAGATACTATTACTCATTAGTACAAATAATTAGTTCTATGTTAAGTTTTTAAAAAAGAAGAAAAATACTAACTGGAAAAAATATGCTGAAGAATACTTTGAAAACAAAAAATGAAAAATTATTGTCTGCCCGTGTCTTAAATTAAATACACTCCTATAAACATACAGCAATACAATGAACACAAATACAAAGGTTTATCATGAAGGCATACAAGTATATTTACAGGATATTAGTAAATTTTAGAGTCACAGCAAATTATGTCTTTGTTACTTTGTAAAGATACAGACAGGCTGTTTTAAAGAAATACATGTAGTTAAAGATATCCTTATCATTTTGGTGTCACTAGAAGCCAGATATGTGTTTGCAGTAAAACTCACCGATTTTTCACTTCTTTAGTACCATTTTAAACTAAACCCTATCTCTTTTTCTAAATAGCCCTTCTATTAACCTTCACTTCTAAAAATTTCTACTAGAATGTGATTTATCACATCTATTTTATATAGATAAGCAAACAATATTTATCTTAACCCAAGCACAAAGCCATTTCAAGATAAGATTAATTCAAGGTAAATATTCTTTCCATGTAATTTGTAGATATGTTATAATCCTAAAGAAATGCCTGATGTTTACCCATGACAAATATAATTCACATTATAAAAATTGTGTTCATTTACTTAGGCTTATGAAAAGAAAGCACAGATTTAAAGTCATCACCAAATGCTTTTTTCCACAAAATGTGTCGTTATGTGTATGAAGACAAAAAATATGGGAATGAAAATGTTTACTACTAGGTCAATTATAATTTATAGTGGTTATCTCCCAATGAGTTATGTGATGATTTGGATACTTAACTGTGTGTAATGACTGTCATGTTATGTATGTTTTGGTTGCATCTTACTCTTTGGTTTTTCCAAGTTTAATCTGCAGCTTTACATTTGACCAACACAAGCTGGGAGTGTGTAATTACTTTTGTCTATGAATATATAATAGCCAGTGGAATGATAACACATTTATTTCTTCATTGCTGACATAGATGTCTACAAGCAAAAAGCTAGGGCTCATCCTATCAGGATAACAACATGATGAAGTAGCATTCACTGATTTAACATGGTTCCCATAAAGATGCTTCATGATTCCCCTTCTAGGTAGTATGAAGGGCATGGCACAATTCAAAATAACATGAAGATTGTGAATCTTGGCATGGTTAAGAAGGTTAAGTAAGTAAAAGAGCTGTTGCTTAAAGGCAGGAGCTTAACCTACCATAATCAATTATCAGAGCCCAAGTGAAGGTAGAAGGTGAGAACTGACCCTGCAACTTGACCAGCAGATTTGTGTGTATTATAGGATCCCTCCATAGACATTCTCACAAAACTTAAATTTAAATTGTCAATCTGAAACATGGCTTTTTCACATCACTCCATGTGATAAGGTAAAATAGTATGCAAAACTGATTTTTAAGAGAAAATGAAACATAAAATTTAAACTTTATGATTCTTACATTCTTTATAAGTCCACATCTACTTATAATAAAACATATACCAAAAGAACATTATA